ACAGCAACCCAGCCCCCGGCTCAAAAAGGTTGCCTACCCCTGGACTAAGCTCTTACCTTTTGCCACTCTACTCAGAGAGGGAGATGGTTCCTATTTTGAGTTAAGGTACATCACTTGCATTGACCTGTGGATAAGTTGACCCAGATTTTTTGATCAATTTTTTTACTCAAATTTCTAGACTTATACATAAGTATATACAGTATCCTTTAAGTAGCTCTTATGTTTATATTTTTAATGAAGTGTATGTATAGTTTTCAAATCTTTATTGTTTTAAAATATATTGTAAATTGCCTTGCCCCATTATTGTGAGAAAGGCAGGATATGTATTAATATAATCATCACCATCATCATCTGCAAATTCCATAGGCTGGGAACCATGTCAGTTACAGTGGAATCATAGTGCTATAATTCTGTAGTGTGAAAGGAGCCCCTGACACTAGGTGTTTAACAACTCCAGGTAGGTTGCTGGCCTAGATGAAAGAGGCTGGCCTGATTTTCTGCCTTTAACAACAGCTTGCTCCACAGAAATCAACAAATGCATATTTTTAAACATTATAGAATAAGCAATTACATGGGCTGACATTTGCAGCATACTGTTAACACCACAGGAATGGGTACAATGAAGGGCTAACCTAGCTGCTTGTTCTGCTTGAAAGGAAGCAGTTTAAAATGTCTTTTGTTTGGAAAAATGAACTGCAGCCTATCAGATTCTAATCCAATGAGGTAAAGGGGGAAAGAGATCAGACTTTTACTTTGGAGGATGCAGAAGGGGGATCTGTCTAATCAGAATGTGTTTCATAAGAATATGGACAGGACAGGATGACAACTTCTTCACTGACTCCTCTCCCTACTCTTTTAACAGCAATTTGATTTGCAGCAACTACCAGATGGGCCTGTTTAGCTTCACAACAAGAGGAAATTGTTTTGCTTTTGCTACTGCAATCTAGTAACACAGCCATTCTTTTGTAAACTGCTCACTTTTCCATCCAGCACTGGCAATCCAGGTTGTAATGGGAATATGGGGGTTGGCAACTATTTAGCCCTGCTCCTGAGGTTTGAATAGCAGCCCAACCCACCCAGAGAATTAACAAGGGAAGCTTTCCCAGCACAACAGGAAAGGCTGCACCGCCTAAGTATTTTGTTGTGAAGCTGTTAAAGGCTCTGTAACTAGCAGAACCAGTAAAAGAGAAGACAAATGCCTCAAGAAAGCAAAAAGAACTAAGATGGTTTTAGTTTCTCTACCCTTCAGAGCCCTTAAACTATATGTACATATAAGCACCTTTAAGAAAAACTGGTTTTTATTTTAGACTGAACTTTCATGGATATAAACCCACTTCTTCAGATGCAGTACAGAGTGATATCTAAAGAAATAGGTTTGTACCCACAAAAGTTCATAGAATCATAG